GGGGCAGAGCTGAATGCTCAGGGTGGCCATTTTGGCAATGCACTACAAGCAGCTGCACAAAAAGGATCCGAACCGATTGTGCGGCTTCTGCTCGAGCGTGGGGCAGATGTGAATGCTCAGGGTGGCGAGTATGGCAATGCACTACAAGCAGCGAAAGAATTTTCTCATGAATCAATTGCGCAGCTCCTCATTACACATGGGGCAGTTTCCGATGCAGGGACTTAGGCCCATGATACAAGTAGCACACCCGGCCAGCAGACTCTTAATTGTTTCACTACTCGAATATCCTATTCCTGATGACACCACCGATTCTCGAAGTTGTCCCTTTCCTATCCTGTATTTGGTCGCTCTTTCTCGTACCAGTATTTCACACGGCAGCTACAAGAAAGCCCAACTCCCCCCTGTTCACGCCACGCTCCCGGCAGTCTTCCACCCCATGTCAGTACTCTATTACGTACCCCAAACAAACTACTCACTTCCACGATCCCATCTCTCCTTCTGTCTCTCAATACCCTGGAACACTTGCACTGCTTTCTCCGCATTTCGAATTACCTCATTAGGAGTTCGCTTGAATATCCTCACCCGGATCTTTGACCTCCCCCCGGGCATCCGGCCACCCCACACCCACTATTACTCGATCTCCTTTATTCCACACACCCTCCAATACCCCGAACAAATCCCTTCGTCCCACATTACGGGAGCTGTCAGCGCGTACTGAGTGTCCCACTTTAATATCTTACACTGATTACCTCTTGTTTGACCGACTCTCTTTGTTATTATTATTATTACCCGCCCTTGAGATAAAAATTAGATATATTTCCGATACTGTTGGAAATACTGCGCGGCATGCTCTCCCTTCCCCCTATCCCCCCTCCCCTTCCTTCATTGCCTTTCCTTGCCTTTCCCCGTTGCTCGTTCGTTCGTTCGTTCGCTCATTTATTTGCTAATTTGTTGGAACGGTGTTTTTTTCTATTTGTATGCTATTTTACTTTGTTAGTTCCCCGAGAGCGCCATTTGGTTATCGGGGGAGCGCTGAGGCGCCGGGAGTGTGGGCGAAAGGAAGGCGTGATAGGCAGGCGCAGAAGGAAGGACACCGGAGACAAAGAAAGGTTCTGGAAGAACTGTTATGTTTGTTTGTTTCCTTTTGTTAGCGTGAGGATTTCTGAGAAGGGGAAGGGAAAGCATACCGGCAAAGGGAAGGATAGGAGGACGTCGTTTTCTCTGTTTGCGCAGTAGTTAGTATTTTTTTTCTTTGTTTGATTGGTTTTCCGGGGACGTACTTTGGCTTCCGGAAAAGCAGTTCGGCGCCGGTAAAGCGGTTCGGCGAAGCCCGGAGGTTTGGATCCTCATGGAAGAAGGCTACGAACGGAGGAAAAGAAGAAAAGCCTGGCGTAGGCTGTGGTTTGACGGCGGAAGTCTGTCTTTTCCTTTGTTAGTTTGTGTGTTTGCTCGCGAGTGAGATGGGGACTTACCCGGGGGGGGGACCGGAGAACTTTGGTTTGTGGTTTGGCTGTATCGCGGTTGCGATTTATACTCCTGTCTTTTCCGCCAGTAGATGTAAGTTAGAAAGTGTGCGCGCGACAGTTTAGGGGGGTGAGAGTGAGTGAGAGAGAGAATAGAGTATGTCTGTGGGAGAAGAGAAGAGTTTTCACCGGCTGTGAGTTTTGTGATCCTTTCACCTGTGTGAGCTTGGCGTTGTTTCGTTTCACAGCCGGTCACTCGCTTAGTTTTCCGATTGGCTCGTTGCCACGGACCCGTGTTCGTTCGCTGTTGCCTTCGCCGCTCATTCAAAATATACTACGGGGATACCTCCACACTTACCGTTAAATCTGTGAACCTATCAAGTGACCCTAATAGCAGGAGCAGGTTGATGACAGTCTCTCCGGAGATAACAGGAAGGGATGGAAAATAATTTAGAAAAGGTGGGGAGTGTCCCACCGACCTACCAATTTTCTCTGTAGCTGGTTGGCTCTGGTCTTGGGCTTGGAGCTCCTTTTCCATCTGGCGATATTTGTTCATCCAGCCTTTTCCTCCCTTCCTCCAAGCGGTATAAGGCCCTTGTTACGGGTTCATGGAGGACCGTTGTTAAGGAGCTAGTGTATTCTTCCTTCTTCGGGGGTGCCTCGCTTATGGTCCTGTTTTCTCTGCTCATCACTTTCATTTTTATTTTTCAGACCCAGCATCCTATAGGCAAGTTATCGTACATTAGTCATTGGAGCCATCCGCTAGAGTATGATTGTACATAGAATTTCCACCGCCCCACAAAGCTCTTTGCAAGTCAAATTTGGCACCAGGTGTGAGTTGATCCCAAGCAAACCTTGCAATTTGCTAACTAGGGTTGAAAAGGAGCCATGTCGACCGGACCTGGGGCAGCCAAAGTTTCGGGCCCACCAGGCTCCCAAAGCTGTGGGACCCGGGCTAGCCCAAAGGGCCATTCGGGTCAGTTTGTAGAACTAACAGAGGGAGGTATTGCGAGGTTAAAGAGGGTTGGATGGAGATGGCCCGTTATTTTGTCCCACAGAAAATAGGAGAGCTAGCAGGATTAGCACTTTGTTGGCAATATGGGGCCCATATAGACCGATGAGGTCCCTAACCACAATAAAAACGTCTATCTACACGCTACAGAAATCCTCCCTATCCCAACACATGAGCACCTGGGTCTTCCCGTATTTCTTCCATCTTCCGAGGTCCGGCTCGTATTCATCCTAAGAGAAGTCCTCATACTAATATAGCCGGCTCACCGAGCTTCGCCAAAAGACCGCTCAATATTATCGCCAAGTATCTTGGCATTCGGTAGAGTCCCTCCTCCTAAAATCTGAAACTAAACGTGAAATAAGACTAAAGATACTAGCGGGAGAAACCCTTTCTCGTATGAAACCTCGTATACCAACCATAAATTAATAAGACCGGCAAGTGAGTACTCGTGACCTCAAACAGTAAGCTCTATCTTTTGTACTTTCTCTCACAGCCTCATTCATTCGCCGCTGGTGTTAATTCAGATTTTGGAATTGGGAATAAGGCCTACTTCATGCGTCCTGATTCCTTCATGAATTCCCCTCATTGATGGAGTATCTCCGTGTTGGCGGAGATGCCGGGATTCCGGTGCAGAGTACCTAGAGCTTTTTCATGAGCATCATATATATTTGCCAGTATCTACCCACCATAAACTTCAATGGTCGGTCAAGTACATCAGAACATTGGATTAAAGACTCACGGACACCAACCACAACTAGCATCGCGTTAGGAAACTCCACCCACCCCATACCCATGACCACTAGATCGGCTTTCCTCATATTAGGTTTTCACCTGGGCCTGCCTCGACAGTAATGAAAGATGCATCTTTGGTTTTTGCGCCTTGCTGTACCCGCGGTCCGGTGGACCCCCACCGCCATATTTATAAAGCGGAAAATTCGCAAGTGGAATTTAGGCTGGTAGGGTGGATGGCGGCCTTCATTGAGCACCACCGGCATCAGAGAGGGGGCTTCAAAACGCTGTATTCGATCAACCAGAGAGCTCGGGATGTGATTTTACGTTATTCAATATATTATGGGTGGCCCCACTAGGAGTCGGACTGGCAGTGGCCAAGCTGAGAGAAAGCGGGATTTTTGGGGTGCTAAGTGGAAGGAAGTTTGTTGCGGGCCCTTTATCCGATCTTCAATTTTGGAAAGCCTGGAGTGGTTGATAGCAGTCTTAGGTAGTTGTTCACAGCTGATAATCTCTGGCGAAAGGAATTAGTGAGCGGCTCCGCGAAATGGCGATCTGAGCTCTTACTTTCTGTCCGCTATTGACCTACTGTATCTCCCTTGGGTCGTGCCAGATCCAAGGATATCAATCGGGGGCCATCCAAACTACCCAGACGAACCCCCAGGCATCCGGTGCGATATTTGCGGGGGGTTATTCAGTTGACGCGAGAGCTGTTCTACGGGCCCAGGAGAATCGAATGATATATTTTCTGGTGGACGAGCGGTGATGCAGGGGGTGTATATTAGGACAGTTTCCGAGAGAGGACCCAACGAAGCATTTCCGGGCCAACAGGAATCACTTAACATCACCCGTGAACATTTCGAACCTTTAGTGCATTGTTCTGAAATAAAGCCCCGTTCTCTAGGGCCACGCAGTCTCGGCTTTCTCCCTCGGGATATCCCGACCCCTATTATTATCGGACCAACTAACCCCGGGCGTGGATTTCTCGTCCGATACCCAAAAAACCGAAATAATCGAGAATAGTTCTGGGACGTCCAGAATTTCCCCCTTGGGATTAGGAAAATATAGCGGACAGGCCCCATTCAGCCCCCGGCTGAGACAACAGACCGTACTAGGGGAGACAACTCTAACATCCCAGAGTGACTCTCAATTAACTCCGGTCTTACTGCGATCGGAATTTTATTTTAGAGCTCCATCTCTCCTGCGAACCGTGTGTCCGATTCCTGATTTCGAGTTTTATTCTCGGTCCGACTGGCGGGTTTTCAACAAACTCCATTTCACCCCGGAACACCGATATATAATACCAGATGATTGCTATAGCTAATCCTCTCCATTCATTGCGCCCGTAAACAATAGGCAAGCCGGGTGGGTTAATCAGTCAAAGCGGCCGTAAGCGCTAAATCATACGTATTCCGATCCCCAATTAATTATGTCCCCCATCTCGCTACCTAACAATCAAACAAACAAAACTTGCTTACAATAGTCTTGTTCGCTGGACGATCCGGTTGCGATGTCACTGCACCACACCAGGCCTGGACTATCCCGGGTGCTCGCGAGCCGTCGGTCGGGAAAACTCGGATTAGACCTATAGTAGCCGAGCTTACACTAAGGTCTAAGTGTCTTTCCTATTAGGTACCCTCCCTACGAGGCGTATTTCTGTGATCATGAGTAGCATCGAATACTACTTTTGTGGCACAGGCACTCCCGGCGGGCTCTATTTTTGGTCACAAACTCAGCTTTGCCCTTCAACAGTAACGAATATTGTATGGAGAGGTGAGGCGGGAGTTTAGTAGCAGGGGAGGAGACGGAGCACAGAGGAAGTTGAAGGGATCTCCAAGAGAATTCTCACTCCCGCAGGGGTTTGGGGGGAGCTGAGTTTTCGGATTCCAGGGCTTCCGGATATTGATGCAGTAGGAACTCGGGGGTTTACATGGTCTGTGGGATACTCTTATGGTATCACAATTGTTAATGTCTTTCAACAATTACGACCCGTGCAAATAACCGAAGTTTTTGTCCCTTACTTTTGACTCCACTTGCGCGGACCACCCCGACACCCCCTTGTCGCGGATGCTGAGTGTTCGGGACAGCTCATCTTCGGTGACCTAAGTAACATGACGAATCTCTCCAACTTGATTATTTGCTAAGAATGGAGCTATCTTGCGGGGTCGTTGCTATTGCTATACGAACTGTATTCCCAGCGCGTGGAACCGGTAAACTGTATTCTCGAGAGCCGGAAAGGTGGCCTAATATTGTCATGTAAATATTTTATGGGGGACTCTGAAATGGTTCAGTTTTAGTGGCCCTAGTCTATCTCTCACTGCCAATCTCTCCAAAGCTGAATACCCAACAGCGGGCCCACAACCAACTTTCCACATAGTACTCTGGAGACCCGGCACTTTCTTTTCTATCTTCATCGCCGCTTGTTACACGCGGTATTGGTAACTCTAGGATGAATAGATAACCTGACATCGGCTCCCAGTCGATCCAGCGCATACGCTCCAGCCACGAGCTTCTCCGGTACCGGTAGTGTTCTGAATTATAAAGTGTGCCCCTTTATCCTAGGATCTATAGTCCCACTTGCGAATCTTCCTCCTATCAAATCTCGCCATGAGGATACCCAAGCTGCGATGGCGCGAGGGGAATATAGATTGAACTAGAAGCTTACACCCTATAGCCTAATGCATACCTAGATGGGGGTCCGGGGGAGGGGGGGAGAGAAGAAAATCCGTCCTCATAGCTACAGATGCGGGATGCGACTAGTGGAAGCCCATTAATGGAAAATCAGTGGGAGGTGTCCCCATTAAGGCTATTATAATTCGATCCTATGTCCGTTAGATATGATACTAGCAGTGTACTCGTACATGACGTTCGCCAAAAGAAAAAACTAGTATCACCCAGCATGTTCCACCAAGCCAAGAATAGAAGTAAATCCTGCAACTCGCGTATCACATGCCCATTCACCCAGGGGGAATAACTATCATAGTCGTATCGAATTTCAACATGACAGGGGGAAACTACCAGAACCAATTAAGAGCCAATGAAAAGCAGCGGTGGTAGCCGAAATAAAAGGAAGTTCAGGGGCGGGGGGAGTTCTACAGATGGAAGGGATGTGAGAGAGGGGGAGGGGATGGGATTGAATTTTCCTCCGCACTATCCTGAGTTAACTATCGATCAAGTCATTTATCCCTCATTAAGCTTATTTATTGTTCGGGACTAGAAAATAAATCGCGGGCTATCCTCTATCTCACCCTATTTGATAATATCACAATATTATCATACGCCCCCGCCTCCCCCAGGGAACCTTGTGTGCTAACCCTCAAGGGTTCGTGGAGTTTATCCCGGGTTGTGAGTCGGGTCCACTCATCCTCCGCCTGCGCTAACTCATTGGAAGAACGGAAGGATGGGAAAAGAATATGATACGTGCACGATTGCGGAAATACATGGGGCGTTGCATGCGGGCAGGCTTTCTCCCATCTTGGACACTGATGAAGTACGACCCCCTGTTTCCCCCTCCCGTACTCATGCCTTTCTCCACCCCGCACATAGGGTGGACTCTTCATTCGTCCCGCCCGGCCCTCATCGCCGGACTGCCTATCGAGAGCCGAGTTAGGAGATATGCGCGTATAGGGTGTGCGGCTTCAAGGAGTGCAACGGGCAGGCGCAGGGCGGTAGATTATTTTATCCACATTCCATGCCGGTGAGCATGGATATTGGCTTTTGGTTTGTTGATACACATTGGTTTTGGGCAGCGGGTGTGGGGTATCCGGTTTAGTGCCGCCCTTTCACACCTTATGCCATATTTGATTGGCACTTCATGTTCATTAGCGAGGCATAGGGCATTGTTTTTTTTTTTCCCGATTTGGATCTTTCCGAGTAGTTAGGGTTATGTAAGATCATAGGGGGTAATGATGTTTTCTGTAGAGTGTTTCTGGGGCGCTTCAGCTGGTTTCCCGAGTTGTTGGCTATACCGATACATATATCTCCCGGTCTGTTATTAGCCGGCAGCCCTGTCGATCTTGTTAACTATCCTCCCACGTCCATCTGTGCTAAGAGCCCATCATTCCTACCTTCTGCCCGCCTCATCCTTTCACTTTGTGCATTCCTAGGGCTGCATCGCCTGTCTAACCACCCATCAGCTATGTTTCCTACACCCCACATACCCTCTATCTCCACAGCATTCCGTTGTAAAAGTACGCTTTTCCGGTTCTCATCCGCCCGGATATTCCCTCCCCACCTTCCCCAGGCCTTCTCACCCCCCCCAAATGCAGCGCGGAGTCGGGGAGCAGCGGTATATCCGGAGGGGGAACAAGTGCGGGGGATGGGAGCACCTATTGAATTTATAGCAAGTTATAAGTTAAGGCGTAAAATGTTAGACCACTTGAGCAGCGACCACGCAAATCAGTAGGTATTCCCTTTTCGGATATTTCCTGCCTCACTTACCCCGCGCAAGCACAGCGACCCAAGGGCCGCCTAGCAGTTCATGAACTAGGTTCGGTAGAATTAGCCGTGGGCACAACTCATATATCGTCACGCATTGCCTGTCGCAATCGCTCTCGGCTAAGATGTAGTGGCTCCGCTCAGTAAAGTGAGCTGTCCGGGTGCCGGAGGAAGGAATGACTTAATGTTTTTCTTAACTACGACCGTGTCTATAACCTTGTGTGGGACTAGTAGTTACCCGTGTGTTTCACACGACCTCCACCCGAACTATTTCACACCATACCTGTAGCTGGGAATTTTAACAGCTCCCGCAACTATCTCCCAGTTTTAATTTGCCTATCCTTCGAACTTTGGTTTAGGATAAGGATTTTTTAGCTTGCATGTGTAAGCATTTTTGACGGGTCATGCTGACTAGGCGTTAATCATGTGATCTCGGTTTAGTTACTTTTACAGGGGTACTGTTGTGCGTGTGCCGCACACTTCCGTTAGTTCTCAGGTTTTTCTCGGCAGACAATTTCGGCGTTCTTTGATAGGTCACTGGCTCAGGCACAGGGTGTTTGTCAGTTGTAACCAGAGAGTACTCACTGGTTGCTTAAGATCACTGGTTTTGAAGATAAAAAGAATCAAAGGAAAAAAGGTTTGATTTAGTAATCCACCTGCTAAAGACAGAGTCACTTCTGAATTAACCAAGGTTAGTCTGCTCCCCCCCGACCTCATGTCCTTCTCCCTTCTGCGAAAGGGTCCCATTAGCCTCCCTCAATCGTATAGCTTCTGCAATAGAAAGAATTGGAGAATCTATATGGGTGGAAAGATGACAACCGTCTACATATGATGAGCAGGAATCTCCACGCAAGTTAAGCCGAACCGTGGCACATGCTCAGTAGTGCCCACCGTTATTAGTTTAGGCATACATGACCGGCAACTTGATGGCTTGTTCCTGGATCATCCCGAACCCTATACTACGACACAGGAGGGTAGCCGGCTGTACCCGAGTATCAACCGCCGGCACGGGGATGGGAGGTTAGGCTTTGGTGTGGGAGGAGCTCAGCGGTAGCGTGCATTGATTGGGGTAGTGAAGCATTGTTGGAAATCCCGAGATGCTGTTCGGCATGCTCGTACCTTCCCTTACCCTCACCCCCACTCCCCGTTCCTTTCCTCCGCGGTTTGTTTTGGTCGTTCGGCCATTCGGTCGTGCGATAGTTTGTCTGTTTGCGCTCTAGTCAGTTTTCTTTGTTAGCTCCCCGGGAGCACACTTTGGCTTTTGGGGAAGTGCTTCGGCAGCACGGCGGAAAAGCGTCGGCGGAGCGCACGGAAGGAAAAGCGGCGGGGGAGCGAACGGAAGGAAAAGCGGCGGGGGAGTTTGTCTTTCCTCCGTCAGCAGTTTGTTTGCGAGGTTGGGGAGGAGAGAAAGACTTAGCGAGAAGGATTGGAGAGCTATGAAGTCTGTCTTTTCTTTGTTAGTTTGAAGTTTGCACGGGGAAGAGAAGACGTACCTGGGGGGGAGGTGAAAGGACTCTATCGTTTGTCGCTCGTGGTTGATATATACTCCTGTCCCTACCGTTAGTTGGTTAGCTGAACTGCGTGTGCGGATAGAAGTTAGTTTGGTGATGAGAGTATGTGGAGAGCGAGTGTGTGGGAGAAGTGAGGAGTTTTCCCCGCCCTTGAGTTGTGCGATCAGCTTGTTAGTCATCGCTTGGCGTTTGTTGTGGATCACAGCTAGTCACTCGTTTGTTTTACGTCGGCCTGTGAAGTTGAAAGGAGATTTTAGGTGGAGTAAAGAGGAGAATTCAATTGGGCACTTTTTCGGGGAAGGATATAATCTTGAGCGAGCAAGAATTGTGAAGTCTTTTCTTATTAACTTAATTCACTTCCTTCCTACCACCGAAGTAGATGACCACTATATACTACAGAGAATCCAAGCGACCAGATATCCGAGTCCACCAAGTGACCCCATTCCTTTCAATCCATACCATTCCTCGTCCTCATTCCAACAACCGGCTACATTCTTTCCAATTCATACCATTCCTTGTACCTCCTCACATTCATCCGGAATGCTTCTGGCATGTGGTTATCAGGAAGTTCCTAACAACCCTGGCAATATCACAACAGCCTGCGATCGTGAGTTTTAACAAGTATCTTGTCTTGTGTGATCCGGGGCCCGACACGGAAGGAAAGGCAAAGCGGCGGTGATATCCGAGTGGAACTCTTGTCCTGGCTGGTCCTCTCGGACAATCACTCGCAGAATAAGTGACCCGGACAAAGAGACAAGAGGTACGATGCAAAGACCACTAAACAGTTTCCCACAAGACGGCGTTTCTCGGGAGCTTGTAAAAAACGGAGAAGAAAGGAAAAACGCAAATGGGGCTGGCCATGAACCATAAGAGACTACTCATAAATAGGGGAATAGTTGTATCCATCCTTGCCGCTGGGTACCGGTAGATTGCAAGGCTGTCTAGGGGACGATGGGCTTTTGTAGACATAGCAAGGAACTTTTAAACATGGATCAACGAAAAGGATAGCACGGACGAAACTACGAAGCGGCAACTCCTGAAAGGCAAGGCAAAGAGTTCATACCCCAAAACAATCGCACAACTCGGAAGCAGAGAAGTTCTCTTCTTCCTAACTAGCTAACGGTAAAGACAGAGGCAGATGTGGCAGCAACAACCAAGTCCTTCTACCCTTCCGGGCGTTACCACACAGGTCCATGCTATTTCTCGTATGCATCCCCTTCACCTTGCTCTGACTCCTGTGCTAATGAAGGACAGACAAATCCCCGGTGTCCACGGCCTCCGGGCGTCCAATACTCCGGGTGTGTGACTTTTCAGCTTTCCTTACAGGCTTTCCGCTTTCCTCCCGCCGGATGCGGCGGTCCAGAATCTCCGTGTGTTCCTACAGCCAAAATGCGTTTTCCAAAAGCCAAAAAATTCCCAATGGGGAAGTGGGTCTCCAAGGCCATCCGAGTGGGGGGGAAGAAACTATTATGAGGGCATGCTGAGAAGCACCTGGCGATTTCTAACAAGAACCTGCTCGAGTAAAGGGGTATCCCCGGATGCGTCTCAGAAACAGTCTAGCCTCCTAATGCCTGATGCGGTGGCACTGGGCATACCAGTATGCTGCAGGAAATGACGGAGGGAAAAAGAAGCAAAGAGTCTGGAGTTCGATCCAGAATTCCTAGCGGTCCACCCCCCATCCTGGTGACAGAGCTAGATGGACCATAAGCTGTTGTCAGCCCTCATTCTATACCACCACGCCCAATGGCCTTTGTAAGGGGCAACACGCACGACGTGTATCGTCGTTGCTCTAGTCCTCTGCTTGCGGGAAGGCTACGGGCGATTGGGGCGACAATAGACGGCAGGTCGTAGCATTTGCAACAGGCGAATAGTGGGGGGCGGCGTGGGCGTGGGGTGCGGTCGCAGGGGATGTGGGAGAAAAAGCAGATAGCCGAAGGGATCGATAGCAGGCTTAGTTACTTGCAGAGAGTAAGTTAAATAGAGGGCGTCTTCCAGACCTCCCCCATCCCGGTCCGGGGCCAAGTGCATATTCATTGGGGGGCACAGCATGCAGGGGACATAATTCGGCTATTAGCCAGTGTCTACACACGGCGAACTGAGGGAGAAGTTGAGGAGGCTGGTAAGATTATCAATCGGCTAGTGGCGGGATGCGGTAGGAGAGGTCGGGTCCGAATGTGAACAAGGGAAAGCGACCTGCGGTGCTCCAGGAGCCAAGAGCTAGTTACGAAGGGAAGGGAAGGGGGCCAAATGCGATATCGAGGGTCCTGCGCGATAGGAAAGGTCAGGACCGAAACCGGTATCAACCACTCTGGCGCCCACAACTGTATCATAGTAAATTTCAAAGTGGAAGTAGAGGTGTGATGGTATGATAATAATTACTCGATATTCTCTGACATGCAGGGGCCTATTGTAGGCCAATTTGTGGAATAATCGGGTGTGGTTCGGGGTATGATAGGTACCGTATTGTGATTCCTTTCTCGGAGGTGCCCAGTGGAGAAGTTTGTCCAGAGACTTTTCTTTTTCTCCTAGTTAGAGAGCCAACCTTACAAGTAACCCCTAACTTACCGTTTGGGAGGAGGGGGGAAATTTCGAGAAGTCGAGGGGTGATGACGGTACAGGGGGGTGTGGTGCCCCGTAGTCACCGGCGGTGCGTTGTTTGTCATTTGGGAAATCAGGGGATTGAAGCAGCGCGCTATTTGGCGATGTTTGTACAATCCGACTCTAGGCCTCGAGATAGCGGTAGGCAAAGAGAGAGGCTCTGAATCCGCACAGGGTCCGTTGGTCGCTTAACAGCCTGGACCCCATCAAGAGCACAGTAGCGTATCCGAGGGAAGGGATTTCGGTAAGTTACCGGTGCTTGGAAAGTATCAGTGTGGAAGTGTTTCGGTCGACTTCTGGGATTGAGTGGCGTGCTCAACCTACCCGTACTCGAGTACAGCCCCTAGTAGAAAAAATCGGGAAACAAGGGGGGGGGTTGACAGGGAAGTGCACAGGGGGTAGATATAGGAATTGGTACTTTGCACGGACTTTGCACGGACTTTGCACGGACGGTGTATTTCTAGATTTCCCGATTTTTTCCAACAGAGGCTGTACCTGGGTCCTGTGTGATTTGTCCGGGGGGAATGGAGGACGGAAAACAACGGTGTCTGGGAATGACGACCGCTTGGCACACCCATGGTGGAGGAAGGAGAGGGGAGAAGAATTTGGACCCAACCGAGAAGGAACGGTAACATGGTCTTCCTCCATGTTGATGTGGGGTGTTCGCCCTCCTCCTACAATATGGGGGTGGTCGCCAAACCCGAGCGTACCGTATCTCTTTTCACTGCACGACAGATAGGACACAGCCGGCCTATGTGGGGTGTGTGTGCACTACGGTACTGGAGGGCACCTACCGTATTGTAACAAATCAGTGCCCGCCAACCGATCGCTTGCGCACGCGCAGAGACAGAGCCCTGGGCCGCTGGGAGAATGCGCATCACCTTTTCGGGACTGGGGCTGAATGTCGCATCGCATTAAACTACCCGTACCGGAATTACGTGTTCTAGTACTGCACTACCGGTAGGGAAAATCGGGGGTCTTATCCCCTAAACTGCTGAGACATTCAGCCCTGCCTAAAATGTTGAACACTAGCCTATTTAAGTAATCGGGAGTTAATCTACGTAGATTCAGTCATCTTTGTCCCAACCACGCTGAGCGGTACGGACTCTGCGGTATTCTGAGCACTACACTGCCGCATGACCGTGAAGTTTTTCCTATCACGGTTACCGAAATAGGCCAGTGTTCAACATTTTAAACCGGGCTGAATCTATCAGCGGTGAACGGGCTCCACTATTAGTAGCGGCAACCGAATGTCCCCCGAGGAGTAGGCAGGTAACTTAAATCTGACTGCCACGTTGCCGTGTCGGGTTCCGTGCGGCACGGCCCAAGTACTCGAGATACAAGTACTGGCAGTGCATCTACGTCGTTTACAGTACCATATCACAGTTCCCGCACTATTGTGCCGGTACAGGTATGAGTATCATACTCATGTGCTGTACTCGTACTCGTACTCGTAGCGGTTCCGATACGATCAACTTGGTCAAAAAGCACTGCATTATTTACCCGGGTGCACCGGCCATCCATCCAC